TTTCCTATAAGCATATGACAAATACATGACCAATGCCCCTTCATACCATATTGATAACATTGATTTTCAATAGCTTTTGAAGGACCATTCTTATCTCTTTTTTTACCCTTCATTATTTTTCTTCTTTTAGTGAGTATTAGGATTATAATTAGTACCACCACCACTATAATAACAGTAATTAACATGTCCCTTATCATGACCACATCCACGGCCATGACCACAACCATTACCATAACCACAACCATGACCACGGTAATTACTACGTATAGTCACATTCACTTCAGGGAATGGAGTTGTTCTAGTGAGACGGATTTCATGATTTTTATCAGCAGCTCATTATTTTTCTTAGCCACAAAAAGACACAAAATTAATTCAAAATATTTTTTAAAACTCTTTTCATAATATTGCTACTATAAGAGCATATTTGAAGCGTAAAAAGTTAAAAATATCTTTTTAATAAGTCCTCATCATTTATTTTCTCATCACATAATTTCAATTGAGAACTTATTTTAAAAACTGCTGAATTATATTCGATTATAGTTTTAAAATATTGTAACATCAAATGCATCCATTCATATTGAGCTTTAGGTAAAATTATTGTTTTCTGATGGCCATACCTTTCTTTTAGGTTAATCCATAATTATAGTGGATCTTTTAGTATAGGTATCTAGCTTTTAGTCCTTTATGAAGATAATGATGAAGGAATATCATTGTCTTGGTCTTATCTTGACTACTTGCTTCATTTTTGAGTAAAATTACATTTTCTAGACCTTCGTTGTCAAGTAAAGTTTAGTATCTAGCACCCATGACAGATAATTCCTTTTTATAATATCAAGAGCCATAAATTCAAGTTTGGTAAGATTTGCCATGATTCAAAATAAAATAATAATAACAATTAGAATTATGAAAAAATTAACAAATAAAGCATAATAAATAAATATTATAATAACATCAAATACATAAATATAAAGAAAGAAAAATAAGTATAATAATTTTCATAAAAATATAGAAAAATGAACAATAAAAATAAAGCAACGAATAGTTAATGGGACTTGATTAAATTGAACCACTAATCACATGATTGTTTTCAAATGAATAAAATGGAGAAAGGTAAAATTACTTCATAACTAAGAAAAGGAAAGGATAAGAAAATAAAACAATAAATATATTGTAGTAAATATATAAAGAACATAACCATGAATGTTAATAGAACAATAATATAATATATATATATATATATATATATAAAAGACTTGGAGGAGGAATATATACTTATAATGGTTGAGTTGCACGGACGTATGTGGGAACAAAATAACAAGGTTGAACTTTGTTTAGATAAACATAGCAAATACACTTGGAAGACAGAGAGAAAGAACAAGTCGAGAGAATGGATTTAGAATCACATTTGAATACTTAGAAGTTATCTGGCTCTTAAAACCACCCACATCGGTTGTGGTTTTCGGTCGTGCGTGTGTGATAATAAACTATTCTCTCCTCTAAAGTTTTAAATTATTAGGAGAAAATTGCACACTTGACCTAAAATACATTACATAATATTCTTTATATTTTGATAAAGATTCCATGGGCTCATATTGAGCCCGATCCACCAAGAGTGGATTACCCAATAATATAAGAACACATTAATCTAGCTAAATCTCATACTTGATTTTTAGAGCCAATTCGAGCTAATAATGTATTGTGAAAATAAGGAGAAAGAGAGAAAGAAAAGAGAATAGAAAGGCAAGAAGAATTGGAAGAGAAAATAATGGAGAAGAATTCTTATATACTTATGTATATATGCTTTGGACAGAACCTCTATTTATAGACGTCCAACTATTCAAGGCCTATCCTAATGTTACAAAGAAATAAAGAGGCATATAATGGTACATTATGTAACCTTTAAAAGTTATAAGCTATTAACAACAATAAACTCCTTTATGCCATTCATTAGGACATTAATGATAAAGAAATCTTATCAATTATGAGTTATGGACATTGATAATATAATATTTATAATACTTTAAATATTTTTATCCCCTTCTTATTTTTCTTAGATAAGGAATATTTGTTATTCTCTACCAACAATAGAATCTAATTAAAACTCATCCATATTTTTATTCTCACAAGAATTATTCCACAAACCAATTAAAAAGCATAATAAATCATCTTTCTAGTATAATTTTCTATATTATTTTCAGTAAACCAAACTCAAATTTGCAGGGATTCCAAGCTTTATCTAAATTTTGTTAGCACTTCCTTAATTGTTTAATGGGGTCAGTGAGGTCAAATATTGCATCAGTAATTGTAACTGATGAGATCTGCTGCTTAACATTTAGTTTTCAGTTTGCAATGATGTTAGCAATATTAATTTACATAATAGGTTGCCTTTCAATATTCCTATGATCCTAAGTTCCCGATCAAAATGAACAGTAGGATATAGGAGTTATCTCTTGGTATAAAAAGGGTTATCATTTAATATAGAGAATAAAAGTATAGAATTAATTCTAACTATAGAGTGACATTGTGCACTTTTTGAAATTTCTAGAATAACTTTGTACCAATAGAAAGATAAGGATATCAACTGCACTTGGGAAAGAATTTTCAGGACAAATTTATCTAATTAAACGCAAATATTTATATTGACATTGGTGTACACACATTAAACTATATTGGGTTGCCTATGGATATCATAGACTTCTCACACTATTGAATATCGATGGCTACAGGGAGAGCTATAAATCCTAAGAGCCCTGGAACCTCTTGATTTTTTATCATCTTTTCCTTTCCATTTCCCTAATTAATCATAATTTCATAACTACTCATCAAATTTATAACTACAATAGAATTTGATACAGTGATATATCAATAGTCTTACTCAGTAACCACTATATAACGCAGAAATTATATAATAGTTATATAATTTAACTGCTATATATAGTCTCCAAACCTTAATCCTGCCTCAACTATAAAATGATTTTTGACAATAACCGTTTTATAGATGGCACTTCATATAAATTATTTTTTAGTAGTCCTTCCTTTATTTTCACAGTATATTTACCATACGTTCAACTTGAACTGGGGAGGCCAAAAAAAAAAACTTTGAAGTGGGAGGCCATGACACGCATAGAATCTCTGCCACTAGGATTCTGCGCGCCCCCTCCTGCCATGCCTTCAACTAATATTTTATAAACTTATTTTTAGTCACAATTTTGAGCATCATTTATAGGGCAAAATAAAATAAGATTGATGAAAAACTAAATGATTTTATACATGAAAAATGGCACACATTTTTAAATGAAAAATAGAGGAGGAATGACATTAATGACCAATACATTGAATTAAGAATAAATAAAGATGAAAAGCTTTGAATATATATATATATATATATATGAAATAAGGACCAAAGATCCTTTAGTGAATTGGTCTAGAAGTTTGTTAGTTTCATTCTATGATTTATAACTCTCAAAATAAAAATTGTAAGTTATAAGATTCACTAACATGCAAAGAAAAAACTTGTCAGATATGTTATTATATTTTCCTTGTCAAATTAACGAATCTTACTTGCAAACTTGTGTTTTGAGGTTGCAAAATTAGGGTATAATAGTTGCAAATCACTGAAAATGATAATATATTTAACAAGTTTTTTCTTTACAAATTAACAAATTTCACTTGGAAATTTTTGTTTGATGGTTGTACGTAAATCATGGAACGTGAGAGTGACAACTTTCTAAACCAATTCAATAAAAAATTTGTGATCCATATTTTGTATTTTCACATCTTTCAATCTTTGTTCAAGTTTAATTTAATCTTTTATTTCTTCAATTTCAATTACCATGGCCGATATCCTATTCTTCTTGATATGTCTAATGCCATTATTGTTTCTTGTTTTTGTGTCTAATAAAAGCATCCTTTATAAAGTATTTCAATTTTTCTTTTAGAAAAGGACACACTTGTCAACTAACGTTAAGATATAATATCTTATATCTCATGTTGCAAGGTATTTATAATTGAATTATAATTTATTAATAGTGAAATTTGTTATAAATTATATATTTTAAGTTAATATGTTGATATTATATTTTAACATTTTAAAAAAATTATTGAAGATTAAATTATAAATGATATTTTCCTTTCTTTTAAAGGCTAAATTGTATTTTTAATCATCTAACTTTATATAATATTTTAATTGAAGAATTACAATTAGGTTCTACACAAGAAAATTAATTATGGTAAGGTTTATTGATAATTGAACTAAACTGTATTGACAACTAGTTATGTTATTAATACAATTTGGTTCAGTTGTCAATAGGTCTTACAGTAATTATTTGTGTGGGACTTCAATATAATTCTCCCTATTTTAATTTGGTTCTTTAATTTTTCAAAAGTATCTTTTTAATTTTTAAATTTTAATATCATTAGTTTCAAATAATTTTTTTGTGTGTCAATCATTGTTATTTTAGAAAGATTAAATTTAATATATTAACATTTGAAAATATTTTATTAATATTTGAAAATTTAATGTATACTTTTTTTTTATAATGAAACTAACGGTGTTAAGGTTAAGTGACTAAAAATACACTTTATAAAATTAATAGATAAAAATAAAATCTTGCATAAAGTTAAAGGACTAAATGTATATTTAAGCCTATTTTAATTATAAATATTATTTTTTATTACTCACATTTATATATCTTCCTATTGGAAGCAATCAAATATTATTTAAAAATATCAGTAACTTTTAAAATATAAATAATAAATTTATTTTTTAGAAAATTAAAAAATTAAATATTTTTGAAAATTATCTTTTCAAAAATGATATTTTTTTCCTTTTAAATAGCCCCGCTCCATGAAACATTTGACCCAAACAAACGCACAAAGCCACAAACACACCCTCCCTCTTGTGCCTCGTCCTCTCTCTCTCTCTCTCTCTCTCTCTCACCCTTCTCTCACCATCTCAACAGCTGGCGGCGCCGCTGTTGCTAGTGGCGGCGGCAAATACGATGAAGAACATATGTAAGGTGGTGGATGGGTTGAAAGCAGCCATAATACTAATGGTTGTGGTTCAGCTATTCTATGTTGGGATTAACATTCTTTACAAACTCGTTGTTTATGAAGGCATGAACCTGGGAGTCATCATTGCTTATCGTTTTGTTTTCGCCACTGCTTTCATGGCTCCTCTTGCTTTCATTTTTGAAAGGTAAATTAATTTTAATTTTCTTTATTTATTTTCCTCTTCTGATCACTCTGTATCAAGCATGCATGATCCATATGAGCTCGATCTCATTAAGATTAGTGTGGGTTTGTGTACCCCTGGGATATCCTATTTATAAGACAAAAAATAAATATTTGTTCTCGTTTTTTTTATTGGGCACCTTTATAATTTTTGTGAATTGTTTTGCAGGAAGAAGAGGCCAAAGATGACTTGGACTATACTGTTTCAGGGTCTTATATGTGGCTTATTTGGGTATTTAATTAATTTATTAGTATTTTTATCAATTTAGTTCTTTAAGTTTACATCTATTATTGATTTGGTCCTTATTGTTTAAAGATGAGATAACCTTGTTAAAATCTACTGACATAAATAATATAATATTGATGACAGTCATGTAGATAAATAAAAAGAAATGCAATTATTTAGTTAGGAAAAAAACATATTATGAAATTTTAAAAAATAAAAGAATAAAATACATTATATGAAATTATATTGATAAAAATTAAATTGATTCAAGGGCTATTTGTTCTTATCTAATTATAATACATGTTTAATCATCAATAGATTTTACACATTAAATTTTGATAGTCAATACAAATTAAAAAGCTTAAAGAAAAAAATCAATACAAATTAAATTTGATGGATTAAATTAATAATTAAGACAAAGTTGATAGATTGAAAATTTCATTATCCCAAGTCATAATTATTATTCTTTGTCCTTTCTAATTTAATTAGTTTTACTATAAACTTTACTATAAAATATAAATAATGTCTTTGACAATGACATAGAAACCACCAAACAAACCAAAATACAATTGACCATGGGTTTGTAAAATGTCAAGAAAGGGCTAGCAAATAAAAAAAATGAATGGACAAATATAGGTCACGTTTGATTATTAGAAAAGAATGAAATGTAATGGATTGAAAAAATCAACACAAAAATGAACTAAATCATCGTTCATCTTCATGATAAGTATAATAAAACTTATTAATATATACTATAAATGTGAGAATCGTCACATCTATCAAAAATTTTATAAGTCGTGATTTCCAACCCCATGAACTAAATTATCCCTTTCTTTTATGTGTGTGGTTCACTATTTTTTTTTATCATTTCATTTTTATCTTTATTTTTTTCAATACATTCCATTCCATTTCTTTTTAGTAATCAAACATGACCATATTTGTAAATTCTAGAAGCTTAATTGTAAATGTAAAAAAAAATCAGTTACTATGAATTTTAGAAGATTGGTTAAAATCAAATAGCTAGGTTGTAATTGTGAAAATTTTGTAAATTATGAAAGCTCAAGTGTAAATTTTGAAAAATCAGTTGTAAAAGCTGTAAACATGGTTGCAAATAAATTATAAATCGTAGAATGAGCTTCCATGATTTGTAAGTAACTTCCATAATCTGAAACTAAGCTTCCAAAGTTTTTAAGATTTACTCCATTTGAACTATAATATAAGTCATTGTTAATTAATTTATATTTTTTAACAAAAGTTAGTTAACATCTTGATTTTCTTAAAATTTTTACATCTTTCCAATCATACTCTTAAATGGAATAAATATAACATGATTTATTCAAAACACACTTATTAATTACTTGAATGAAGCATAATAAAGTAAGAGTATAATATAAAAAAATATAAAATATATCTAATACTCTATATTTTGTACCAAGCTAGGCTTTTAAAAAATAGTGTCCACAATCTACAACAATATATATATATATATATATATATATTACTAGTGTTAACATGCATTAAATTCATGACATAGCTAGAGAAGTACACCCCCCATATGAGTTTATAAGACATTTTTTTTGGCAAAATTGTGCATATATCCATAAAGTTAATTAAATATGTAATTTATAATATTATTTTTTAAAATGAAAATATAAATTTTTAAAAATATCCTTCATTTAATAAAATCTTGTAATAGAAATAGAGAAGATATAATAAGGAGAGAAGTATAATATTGAAATAAGTATAATTAATAAAATCTTATTTTTATTGAAGTGTCTTATCTTTTAAAACATTGAATTACTTTTAAAAGTATTTTATAAATTAAGAAAAAGTAACTGCATAAACACCATGCCTAAATGTGGACCTTAGTAAAAAAATATTATTAAGGCTAATGAAAACACCATCAATTGTCCCTTATGGCGTATACCTAAATGTGGGGCCTTAAAATAAAGTCATCCGACATCAAATAATCATTGCGCGAGACAGATCATAGGCTAAATTCAAAAGAGACAATCTCTTTGTATTACATGACTATATGTATTGCAACCTAACCTGCAGCTTCATTCACTTTTCTAGAAACTAGAAACCAAAAAACTTTACTCAATAATTGCTGAGATTGAATATTTCACCCACAGAATTATTAGGCTTTGTTTGGAATGAGAAAAACATAAGAATGGGAGAGAATTAGTGAAAAAATTAGAGAAAAATGACATTCTTCACCCTTATTTTCTTCTAAGTTCCATCAAGAGAAGGAGGAAAACTAAAAGAAAAACTTTTATTTTAGAGAGCGAAAATGTCTTTTTTCCCCCTACTTTTCTCTCGTTTTTCTTTTTCTTCTTTTTCCCCAATTTCAAGTAGAGGGTTACAGAACTGGTCAACATCACCAACGTGATCAATCTAAATCCGATTAAAAAAGTTATGCAATCAGTTACATATGATCACACAGTAGAATCACAATGTTTATGATTTTTGTATATCAGAGGAACATTGGCACAAACATTATACTTGGAGATGCTGGCCTTAACAACTGTAACGTTTGCATCAGCACTCAACAATCTCCTCCCAGCTGCCACCTTTGTTATGGCCATCTTCTTTGGGTAAATCTCCTTTAATTTATTATATTTTCTTGTTTTTTTTTCATAAAAAAATTCATAATTTTCCCAAATTATTTAGTTAAATTTAGTGTATTTTCTTTTATTTAAACTTTTGTTTTCATTTTCCCTTCAATATACTCATTTGATTCAGGGGAGGTTTATGTTGATTTTGAAAATAGAAAAGATGCTTTATAATTAAAGTAAAATAGAGGGAAAGTCATAGAATTTTACTCTTAAAATTAGTGTAAACTTTGTCATTTCTTTTATTTGTTTGTTTTCATCATCTCTTCAAAACACTTGGCTTAATTGCGTAGATAGTTGCAGTTGCAGTGATCATCTTCCTTTGACCTAAGTTAGAGATTTCCTACTTGGCTTCCACTGATTTCACTTTCATTTCTTGGAAAACAAATAACAATTTTATACTCTAGAATAAAAAATTAATTTAAATCGTATAAAAAACCATTGTTCAAGGCTGGTTCGAAGTTAAACCATCAATAATTAAAAAGAAAATCAAGGTAATGTATAATTAGATTGTTGATAAAATTTAAAAATATTCCCAAAAAATATCAATAACAACTAAGCAAAAACATTTTCATCAATAAATAATATTTCAGCTATAAATTATGAAAATAAAATTAAAAATTGAATGAAATTATAAATATTGAAAATGTAATTTTTTTAATTTTCTTAATTTAGGTTCTTAAGCTTAAACTGTAGTTTCTTCTATTAAAAAAATATTTAAAAATTGCAATCAAAATTTAATTTCTTTTTAAAATGATAAAAACCATATATGCGCGCGCGCGCGCTATCTTGATATGGATTTGACTTCATGGTTAGTTTGGAAAAATTGAATTGGAAATCCGCAGCCGGGAAAGCCAAGACCATGGGAACCATCGCGGGAATCAGTGGGGCCATGCTTCTGACATTCTACAAGGGCCCACCAATACCCACACCCTCTTTCCACGTTAGCATTTTGCATCTCCACCACAGCCACGTGGCATCTTCCCACTCTACCTCCGGCGGTAACACCCTCTTAGGTGCACTCTGCGGCATGGGTTCCATCTCGTCCATTTCTCTGTGGCTCAACGTTCAGGTCCCCCTTTTGCTCTGACACTTGTCGTTCTGATCCTTAATGCTGTCGTTTACTCAAGATTAATCGTTTTGATTGCGCAGAGCAAGATGAGTGAGAGATATCCATGTCATTACACAAGCACGACGCTGATGAGTTTGTCAGCTTCAGTGTTTTCTATTGCCTTTGCTCTTTGCACTGAAAGAGATTGGGCTCAATGGAAATTGGGTTGGAACATAAGGCTCTTAACCGTGGCTTATGCGGTATGTGATTTTATTACACTTTATAAATTCACTGAGCAAAGCACCCTTGTCATCAACAGTACACCACATAATGTATAGAATTCAATTCTAAGGATCACTTAGTTTAATTTGATGAACATTATGAAAATTAGCAATTATTATAAGTGTTATCATGGCCACCATCTGTCGCTGCCTTCGCATTGCAGGTATTGACTTTTTCTGCCAAAAGATTCCCATTGTAATTGGTGTTGCTAAAATTTTTGGCGGTGACAAACTAAAGTAGTTCCCCTGTTCGAAAAATACACAATAGGTAGGTTATGCAATGTCATTGCCAAGTACTGTACGTCACATTGTGCCATGTCACCCCGCCAAGTGTACCCATGTCATTCAGTCAAGTGTGTGCCACATCATGTCAACATTGAATTATTTTATTCATCACAAGTGAATTGCCTTGTAGAACCCATAGCCTCGTACTCCACTTTCACTATCCACCTTGTTGTAAGTTGATTTTGGAAAAGTTAAAGCTTTCGGTGAAACAAATGAAGATAATTTTATTATTTTCCAAGAAATTTAACTTTCTATTTACACTCAGCCAAGCATCGTCATTCAGTAAAGAGAAATCTAATGTCCTATTTTAAGTTATATATATAGATGTAAATGTAGTATAATTATGATCCATTTTAAATATTTAAGTGTTTAACTAAAATCAAAATAAATACTCAGATGAAAATTTGTTTGATGCATGCATGTAAATGATTTGTGAGGTTAGGGATTGGTGGCATCAGGAGTGAACGTGGTGGTGATGGCATGGTCTGTACGCAAGGGAGGGCCTCTGTTCGTATCAGTATTCACTCCTCTCCAGCTTTTGTTTTTGGCTTTTCTTGGATCTTTCTTTATGGACGAGACGCTTCATCTTGGAAGGTATTTAATTTCTATGCCTCTTCAATTTCTTTTCTTTTTGTTTTCTTTTGGCTCATAATAGAGAATCGTGAATCCATGCATTTTGCAGTATAATTGGAGGAGTTCTGATAGTGTCTGGACTCTACATGGTTTTATGGGGCAAAGCTAAAGAGATGAAGAAGATGAATTGGTTAGTACCATCACAGACCCTCCACGTCTCGTCATCCCATTCACTTGAAATCATCGTCAAATCTTCTATTCATGACCCCAAAAGCAGCGGCAATAATAATATTAATATTAATGCTTATTCAAGCCTCGATAAGGATCACCAAGAAGATTCATCAGAAAATGGAAATCAAGAAATACAAGATGTGAAAAGAACAAGTAACATAATCGAGTAAATGTCTCAGAGTACACTTGAAAAAACTATTACATGATCGCTAGTTACTCCCCTTTGAGCTGGCAAAGGGGCTTCATTAATAGTTAGAATTGCAACAGTTGTATATTACATGATAGGTTTGGCTCTAGCTTAAATAACCACTAGGAATGTCAAAGCAAAGTTTCAACAAGAATGGCGTTTAATCATTTCTAGCATGCTTGTGTACTTTTAGACGATTCCAAATGCAACTTCAATTCTTTCAAACATGCATGCTAATGTTGTGATTATAGTAATGATGTTGAGACTGTTTAATGAGTATTTTGAGTCTTTTCAAGCATGATTGTATGTTAGAAATCCATTTGTAATATGGTCTGAAACTTTTCAAGGATGCTTATATGTATTGAAATTATTTTAAATGTGCACATTTGATAGCTCTTATAGGGTCCCATTCTCCTTGTATTTATTGAGAATGCAGGACACTGGATACGTTCTTATTGTTATCCTTTTGATCGGAGTCTAGATTTGTGGGTTACTCACATTTGATGTCTATGATTCGAGTAAACGTACAATACCAAGTTGGAAAGGACGCATAAGGTAGAGACGGGCTCTATGCATCACACTTGCATATTTGACTGATTTAAATGCTTTGCAAAATGGTTTGTGAACTTGGTTTTGAACTGCCCTCAACGTTTGCAAATTATGGTTGTGAAAACGTGTTTAAAATCTAAACTAAGGAAAAGGGTAATGTCCTACTCCAAGCTTATGACATCATATTAGAGATGGTAATATGGGTCAACTCACAATCTAAGGGTTGGCCGTAGCGGGTTGCGGGTTTAGCGGGGCTGGTTGGTATGACCTGCATCCTGTGCTAGTGGTAATTCAGCCAACCTGCCAGTAAAAAAGTATTTTTTTATAATTTTTTAAAATTTAAAAATTATAATTTATCTCTTTTTATTTTTTCATGATAAAAAATCATATATTCTTTCTAAAAATTAATTATCCAGATAACAATAAAAGCCCTTCCAATCAAGTCATGCTTATATAACCACTTAAATATAAACTAATTTAATTATGTAGTCTTTTATATAACTAATCATTATTGTACATGTATGAATTTATAGAAATGCTCTATCTATCCTCTTTTCTCTTCATCATGTTTTAACACTTTTGCTACAAAATTGATGACTTAGTTTAAAATGCCAATTTTTTTAAAAGAAAATAATGATGATTTAAACTCTGATTATTAGATTACTACTCATAATATATTCAGTTTATACCATTTAAATGTTCTGATCTTTGTATCTTTTTTTTCCTTTTATGTTCAAATTAAGATAATAATATAATATAAATAAAAATGATAACTAAACTTTTTTTATTTGCTAGCTTGGGTAGCACATTTTGCAAACAAAATAATTTAAATAAGATATTATATGAAAGAAGTATAGTATAATAAAATATTTTATTCAATCTTGTCTTGATCACATTTAGATTATATTATTATCACTACTTAAATATATGAGCAGTGTGTTTTTATTGTTGTTGCCATAATTTAAGCTTGAATTTAATAAAGATGAAAGTGTCAAGTATATAGACTGCAATTCTATACATGCTTGCTTTGAATGATTTACTTTTAACTCAATTTTATTTGTTTATTTTCTGTCAATTTTTTTAAAAATATAAGCTAGTTAACCCACGGGTTCAAGTTGGCCCCCTCGCATTTAATTGAACTCATGTTCTCCAACCCAACCAACCACTTTTTTACTGGTTGAGCTCGTAGGCTCAACGCGTATTACCAACTTTATATAATGCAGCTTCATTCAACTTTTAACATACTTCAAATGTTGACCGTTAGTTTGATTGAGTAATGCTTAGTTGGTCATTTATGTAGCATCTACCTCACTTTTTATTAGGGTTAAGGTGCAAAACTGTCCCCCCGAAGTGTCATGCTAAGGATGTTTGGTATCCTTAACTCATGAAAAGGGAAATATTGCCCTAAGCTTTCTAAAACAGTGCAATATTGCTCAAAGGTAGCGGAATGACATTTTTGACCATTAGTGAATTATATTTCACCATAAGGAGAGTTTCGTTGGCAAGATTCAGATTACCATGAGCTCGAGGGCTTGAATGAAAGCTCGAAGGTGGAGAGTCACTATTGACCCTTCTAGGTCGATTCCACAAAGTTAGAGATCTTGTTGGCTTCATCACAATAATTAGGGATTTGATCACTAAGATGCTCTAGTCGAACATGAAGTTCCTTTAGTTGACCTGAGATAAGGATTTCTTGGAATGAAGCAAAACTTTGAGATAAAAATTTTTGAGGATATACCTGTAGTGGTTACTAGAGAAGATGTGACTATGGTCAGTGGTTGCCAGATTTGGTTGATACATGGTAATATTTTTCAATTTTGAAAAGGGTGGTTTAGTCTTCTTGTGTTTTAAAAGATTGGGGGTGACATTACCCTTTTTATAAGTGAAAGATACTAGACTGCAACATCTCATATATTTTCACTCCTCTAGAGAGAAAGTACTCATAAGGATCATTTATCAAACCTTGATGATCATCAAGTACCAAAGATTAAAAAAAGAAAAATGCCAATTTGATTTTTTTAGCACATAATGCATTTTTTCAGAATTTTTTTCATCAACTAACAAAATTCATAACTAATTCTATAAAAATCATATTGTGGTGATTCAAGTTTCTAAATTAAAATTAGGAAGTCCTCTACAAGGGAAAAATATTCCCTAACTTCCAGCATCCATTTATATTTAATAAGAAATTTTCGTTTCTCACTGCTACTGTTATTTCCAGAAAATTTTTCAGATTTCTGACCTTATTTTGTAAAAATCTTATCTCATACTATACAAATCCAAATTTAGTGATCTAGAACTTCATTTGAAGTTTGAAATGTCCTCTAAGTGAATAAAAATTAAAGGTAATAATCACCATATAGCTACTACAATACCGTTACTAATATTTTTCCATGGATAAATATTTTATCCTAGTAGCTTTTACCATACATAAAAATATTTACATACCAAGATATAATCTATCTATTATTATAATTGAACTATAGACATATTTGTAATCTACTTTCACAGTTACAACACAAATATAATCATGGAACTAAGTATACATATTACAACTCCAAAATATACCAAAATATAATTAAGAAGCAAGGTAAAGAAGATAAATTCTTCATTACTCTCTCTCTCTCTCTCTCTCTTTATCATGGTTCTTGGATAAACCTACACATATTATTTGTAACATAAAAAGAGGGGTGAGATTTATAAAAATCTTAGTAGTATTAATCTATTCCAAGCTTTAAGAAATAATGATCCACTCATATAAATAAGCTTAGACCATGAATAATGAAATTCAGCAAATATAGACATACAATGGCCAAAGTATCATACTAGTAATAAAACATCTCATTAACTCATAATTTTTCTATAATTTATAATAACAAAATTCTATAACATTAAATCAACCAATATTGCCATCACAAGAATTAGAGAAATACTACCTTAGATCAAAACACTTCCTTATCCTCACAAAGTAGCTATTGGATAAAATTGCAACAATACACTCCACACATTCTCTCTCTTCAAGTGTCCTCACATTTCCAAGTTGCTTTCTCCTCCTCTTCTTCTTGTTTTTTTTCCCCTTTTTAATGCTCAAAAACAATAAACTCAATCTAATAAATCCTACCCACATTTATATAAGTAAGATTTACATCTAATGGGCTCAATTTGGGTATTTTTAACTAGTAATATTATATAATTATTATTTATTAACCCTTCACTTATAAATATCCTTGTCCAAATAAATAATTCTCAATATCTTCTAAAAATCATTTATCATATTTGACTAATATCATTATTTTAATAATATTCCTAAATTTTCCATTAATACTTTAAGGGACAAATTTGCACCATAACTAAGGTGAGGTGTATACTACCTCGGAAAAGTCAAGTTAGATAACAATCAACCATTTAAGCATGTTAAAACTTGGTGACAATGCTCTGTTTCTAAAAATTGGGGTTAATGTTGCCCTTTTCCTTAGTTAAAAATGTCAGACTCATGTGATACTTAAGAGCAGATTTGGACCTTAACCTTTTTTTTTTTGGAAATGACATAGGATAATTATTATTAGTATTATTCTTATTATTTTTGGACATGTACTAAATTTTAATTTAAAATCACTACTATGAAAATCGACTTTGGTGGTATTTAAAATTTTATTTTTGTAGTGTTTATAAAATGCTACAAGGTTCAATGCTATCTTAAATCTTAAATAGCTTTTCATTCATCAATGAAAAGTCACAAGAAGTTAGCAACAATGGCAGTGTTTCTTCTATTTACTTTCAAAAATAAAAGGGAAGAAAGGTGGTGTTTCTAGTAGGAAACACCACCTATCTCCTTATATATATATATATATATATATAATCTCTTATATATCTATCAATTCATATACATAATTTTTTTAATAAACATATAAACATATAATTAATTTATACAATAAAATTTATTCATATAATTAATAAAAATAAAGAATCAATTTCATACTATACAAAACTACAATAAATTTAGCAAGGTCATAAAAAATTAAGGATAAAGAAAAAATATAAATTAAATATTAGCTAAGAGATATAATAAGGTTTATTAGAAATTTTGTAACATAGTTGTAAAAACCAATATTTACAACAAAAATAAATAAATAATAAATTTGGAAAAAATTATGACTAATGTTTAACAGAGATTAAATATAGAATAACTAAAACAATTTATACAAACTATAAAGAAAAGATAAGCTATCCTCTAGCTACACAAGTTTTTGGCTATTCTTCAATATTGAACACATACATATAAAAAAGGGGGTAGATTCTAAATTAGAAATAAGTTTCTTTCTTAATGATTAATAAAGATTATAATCATTACTTTCTTGAAAGTCTAAAACTAGATAAAACTAAGCCGTTTATCACTTAAAAGAAAATCCTATGTCTATTCCTTAGATCTCAATA